CAACGATGAGACATCGTCAAAAACTCTTTACCTCATTCCACCCTTGCTTTGTCTAAAGAGTAAGAAAAAACAAGAGTTAATCCTTAATAACCGCAGAACTTAAAATTCTTTTAGGCAGGATTAGGGTAAATTTATGTTTGGGACCTTTTTTTTTCCTTTTTATTGGCTATATTATCATGCCCCAGCAATACTAAGCATGGGACGCGCGTATACCCTCTTCAATTGTATTACTCATCAGGATATCTACCAGCCTACCCTCAAACTGAAATTCTTTTAGATGGGATTAGAGTAAATTAATCTATGAGACTTTGGGCGTGGTCAAATACGTCAATCGAAAGGGTTTGACCTTCTGATTCCATAACTGTAGTTAGATCTCAAATCGGTCAAGAGATAATGAAGCTACGAGTTAAAAGTTTGTACTTGAAAACAAAAAACAAAAGCACAGTCAGAGCCGTTCTATGAGCCGTTATGCCGCGACTAAAAAGTAAAATCTCCGTAATGTTCACAGCCGTCGATACCCAATCACCCAGCTTACATATCCTGGGGAATGAATGGCCAGATATCATCAGCGCGTCAGTGAGCAGAATTTTCTGACAACCTTGTCTATGTGGTAATAATAAACCGTAAAAGAAGGCCAAACTATCATTATATATATACATACAACTTGAAGTAATGAATCTTCTGTTTGAGCGAAGTTGTTGAAAATGCTTGATTTTCACACAGGTTAAATTAAACCTTCCCACACGCAAATAAAAACGTTTGAAAATGTACATGTGATAATGAACATTTTATACCCGTGATTGTGATATTAAAGTGAAAATTTTATAAACAATAAAGTAGGCCTCCTAAGAGGTTCGACGGATTGTGAGGTTAAAGTGAACATTTTATTAACATGAAAGGAAGCCTCCTAAAATGGTTCGACAGATTGTAAGATTAAAGATAATATTTTACGAAAAAGGAAAGTTACTTTCCTAAAGGGGTTCCACAGATTGTAAGGTAAGCATCAAAGCAGATCACCTAAAGGGGTTTGTCATATTGTGATGGTAAAAATGAACATTTTATAAACATGAAAGCAGGTCTCCTAATACAACACATGTTAAACTAAATTATACGCTATGAAAGAGTGTCAGTTTTAAACTTTCTGACAGGATTCAGGATCAGCTGAAGATTTAGTTACTAGGGAGGCCTTTACAGGTAATTTATATGTCAACAACACATCAACATACGTTGAAATCCATTTCATCAAACTGAATGTTATATTAAACACAAAGATTGTTTAAATGATCTAAACAAACAAAAATATGTGTGAGGGAAAATGTTGTATACATTCGCTTACTACTAACGATATGTGTGAGGAAAATGTTGTATACATTCACTTAGTACTAACGACATGTGTGAGGGAAAATGTTGTATACATTCACTTAGTACTAACGATATGTGTGAGGGAGAATGTTGTATACATTCACTTAGTACTAACGATATGTGTGAAGGAAAATGTTGTATACATTCACTTACTACTAACGATATGTGTGAGGGAGAATGTTGTATACATTCACTTAGTACTAACGATATGTGTGAGGGAGAATGTTGTATACATTCACTTAGTACT